GATATTGATAAGATGTAGAGTATCAGCGAGGGGCATGGATGATGGATCGAATCCCTACATGGTTATACAGCGTCCAGTAGTCGGTGACGACCTCGACGCTGCGGATACCCAACCCAAGCGCCGCATGTAGACCCTCCATGAGCGCCATGGCCTCCAGCACCTCGCGCCCAGCCCGCCCACCCACGAGCCCCTCCACCGGCTTCTGTACTCTGAGCACCACCTCCCCCTGTGGGTCGCACACGGCCGCCGCGAGCACTGCGACGCCGGGATCCCGGTCCCGCGGGCCCACCACGTCCTTGCTCGCCATGCCCTTGAACAAGACACTGAAGAGCGGGCGTGGCGATGAGTCCAGGGGGCGCTCGAAGTAGTTGCCGCGTGAAGACGGCGTCGTGCGCGGCGACGCGGACGGAGGCAGCGGAACTGGCTTGGTAGGCCCGGGCGTGGCGGCGGCCGAGTTCGGTGCGCGCGAGGGCGTAGGCGGCGTCCGACGACTCGGGGGAGACCTGGATGGTCTCGGCGAGCTGGAGCTTGAAGGTGAGGTCGAGGTTGGAGACGGAGGACAGAGTGACCTGATCGAGGAGGGCAGCGAGGTCGTATTCATCTCCGTTGCCGGCCATGGTCGCGGGCAATCGCTACGGTATTGATGCCCCGGGGCTGCGCAACCTTGGTGTGCGCGTCCCCCAGGCGGGCGGATGTTTGGGTTGTTTCGTGTTGGCTTGCCTTGGCAGCGCAGGTCTAGCTAGGCGTTTAGGAAGAATGGAAGATCATGTAGGTCGTCTGCTGCCTTGCTGATTTCCTCCTAGTGTCCGTCACTACCACCTTCCACTGACAGGTGAGATCATGGATGGTGGTACGGTAATGCTGGGTGAGGGCAGCCGTCCGCCCGCCGTTTGGTGGGCCGCGACGCTAACCCAGACGATCCTCTCCTATCCGTTCATCCGCTCACTATTTTTTTTTAAAAAAAAAACACCGCAGCACCACGACCGCGCTCCGCCGTGCCGTCTCGATGTTCTTCACAACGTCCGGGAGCCCGCCGGCTGGCATCTTCACCGCGTCAAGCATGGCCGCCCATCTTCCTCCCTCTCCATCGCGCCTCCTACCCGCCACGGCCGCCCCCCTTCCTCTCCATCGCGCCTCCCGCCCGCCGCGGTCTTCTACAGCATATAGTCCGCATTCTCCACCGGAACGACCCGTCGCGGCCTTCTCCACCGGAGTGGCAAGCTCTACAACGGTGAAGTCTACGCACCGATGAGCCTTCATTCCCCCAAGCATCAAGGAGATGTTGCACAGAATACGCATGCTGCAAACGTATGTTTCAAATATTTCAGAGGTATGTTACAAGTGTTTTTATATCGGTGTTGCAAAAGTAGATCGAGATGTTGCACATGTTGCAATGGTTATACACGTATGTTTCAAGTGTATGTTCCAAACATCTGTTTCAGACGTATGTTGTAAATATTTCATCTGGATGTTGCAAAAGTAGATCTAGAATGTTTCAAGTGTTTCAGGTGTTTCATACGTATATTACAAGTGTCTCATCTGCATGTTGCATATGTTTGCAATGGCTACATGCGTGTTTTTCTGGTGTTTCAGACGTATATTGCAAGTGTTTCGCTGTTTCGGACGTATGTTGCAAGTGTTTCGTCTGGATGTTGCAAAAGTAGTCTGGTGTTGCACATGTTGCAATGTAACCCACCTACCGCAACCGCCTGCTGCAACTGCTAGGGCACCGCCGTGGGTCACCGTGCGAGCACCTGAGACTGACAGATGCATCTGCGGCGCGCATCCACAGGCGGGGCAAGAGACTAGGATCCACGTGCGCACGGGAAGTGGAGCAAGCGTGGACGGTCCCCACATGCATGTGCGCGGGAAACGAAGCGATGCATGTGGTCCCCGTGCGAAATGGAACTCCTGGGTACACACATGCGTGCAACAGGCGCGGGCGTCGCTAGCCTCTCCATGCTGGAGCCAACTGAGCAGTCGGTACGGTCGAGTTCAAGTCAGATACGAATGCAAAGCGATCAAGCTCTTTCTTCATCGAAATCTTTTGCAACGGCAAATTCTTTTACATAAGACAATGAGTAGAAGGTTTGGGCTCCGCTGTGCGTCAAGCTCTTTCTATGGCTAGCGTTCCAACAAAGGCATTGGACAGTGAACAGGCAAGCGAGGCACAGTCTCGAGACCAGAGTACAATGCTACCTCTGCCATCAAGCGCTAGAGTCAATAGATCACATCATCGTTAGCTGCCCCTTTACTCGTCAGGTTTGGGAAATCATCCTCGCCGCCCTCGGCCGATAGCTGCCACAGCGAGCAAATGGCATATTAAGATGGCGGAGTCGGTTGCAAGCATCTTGGAGCGCCCAACAGTGAAAGGGCTTCGACACACTCTTTGCACTCGTGTCCTGGCAAATTTGGAAAGAGCTTAACGTGGGGTGTGTCGGAGGCTCCGCCACAACATTGCAGGGTTTGCTGGCGATGATCAAGGCCGAGTCTGATCAATGGAGACAGTCGGGGACGGTAGGACTTAGTTGTCTTTCTACCGGATGATATTCCGAAGGTCGTTTAGCCCCAAGTCTGGTTGTGTGTTACTCATGTAAATCTTGGCTGCCTATGCCAGGAAGTTGGTAATGTCTGTTTTAAACTTCCCCGTTCTATGATGCACAATTCTCTTGCGTATTCGAGAAAAAGTAGCATAGTACTTCTTGTATCTGCAAATTTATATAAGATCTATTTATTGGGCATTGCTATGGTACTCTCTAATAATTACCGCCATCAATTATCACATTTTACCTCCTAAGAAGTAATAGGATAAATATCTTTCTATTAGATCTAATATACATGCATAATTTAACTTTCCTTTATGATATAACATGACAAGATCTAAAGTGTAACGTGGACGGGGACACACACGTATGCAATAGTTGGACAAACTGCACACATATGCAGACGTATTTTATATATGATATGATATTTGTATTTAGAAATAATATACAAAGATCTTAATTTGTATTTATCCTTTTATATTTAATACTTAATTTTTTTTAAAACATGATAGATCTGATCAAGGTCCGCCTGATCCAACTAGCCTGAAAAAAGAAAACTTATAACATAACTAATAACGCATTGATTTGGACCATGAATTTCGATCTGAAAAAGTATGTATATATGTAATTGTAATGTTTTATAATTGCCGAAAAATCATTTGTTTAGCACTATCGTGACAAACGTATACATTTTAACTTTTGTAACATGACAGGTTGATATGTTACATAACATAATGGTGTGGTAGCAATTGATACGTGTGAAGTTACATATTGTAAGTTGTAACCATAAATATGTAACATGACATTTTAAGATGTACGTAACACTTTCCGCAAAAAAATGTATGTAATTTTAGACCAAAGACCGAATGGTCCCGCTTTATAGAAAGCAAAGAGTTTGCTGGGGAAACCAGCTTACAGATATAGTTCATACCAGTGCCCTGGGCACAACCCTCTAACACCACATAGTTTGGACAGATACCAAAAGAAAGTTTGTCGAAGCTTATTACAGACTTTTTGTGAAACTTGCAAAGTTTAAGGCTGAAACTACAAGAAAAAAAATGTATGTAATAGTCGCACCTGATCGAGTTGTATTATCTGCATGTAACATTTTTAATGGTATATGGTAGGTCTAATTTATTTTTTGAAGTAATGAATGTAACATATATTTTATGAATATGACTTGTCCATTTTTCATAAAAGAAGTGATAATTGCATTGTGTGGGTGTCGTAGTAACCTGGTTCAACGGCACCATCGCCGGCACCGTTTCATGCATGGGGCCTCTCAGTGCGTGTTGCCTGTTTGCATGGCGCACGAAATAAGAAAATTGGGTCCCGCGTGAGGATAGACATGCCAAGGTTTTGCGAGGATTTATTTTATTCTGTTTTATTATTTAATTTTTTAATTGTTTCAACTATTTGAAAATCAAGGAGTGTGAGTTCTTTATCTTTAAGATATTACCTCTTGCGAGGTGTAATGGGAGTACCATATATAGTAAAAGCCTTTCGTTTGTTTTGTTTCATTCACATAAATCTTTGGCTAATGATAACCATTAATGTCTTTCTATGATGCAAAGTTTAGTCATATAAGTTGTTATATACTACTCTCTCCTTTCAAGTTATAAGTCATTTTGGATTTTTATCTAGAGATATAGTTTTTGTTATGCATCAAAATATCAACTATATCTAGATATATAGTAAAAACTGTAAACTAAAAAAAAATCAAAACAACTTATAATTTGAAATGAAAGAAGTATAAAAACATAGCAATTTGGTCAAACAGTTGTTCTAGCCAGGTCCGAATAAAGTTGGCAAAGGCGACGTGCGTGCACATGTGACTTGAGAAGCAACTTCTGCAACTGCGCCTGTGCAAGTAGCAAGGCTAGCAACTGCGTGGATGCAGCATTGCACTTTGGCCGTACTCAGGAAAGTAACGAGCAGGTTATTTACCCCGTGTGACCACCACCAAACCTGACCGGGGGAATTCGTCAATCAAAAAAAAAAAAGTGGACCAAGAATAACATAGTATGGACAAGCTCGTGTACACATGTTTTGTCACGTCCAGAGCTGGGCAGGCTCGTGTAGTATACTGGCGACCGTGGAACGAGTACATTGTCGACTCGTGAAGTCGTGACTCGTCAATCGTGAAGTCGTGACAAGACATGGTCCACGCGGAGGGACGCGCATCGTCGTACTGCATGCAAGTTTTGACACGCAAGACGTACCAAGCCCCCTGTCACGGTGGCGCACGATCTTCAACTCAACCCCCATGCACGCACTGACGCATACATATATATACGGACCTGCTTTTCCTCCCCGATACACCCCAAGCAACCAAAGAAAACGGTAGCACGGCCCCAAGCCTCAGCTAGCTTACTGCACGTACAGCCCGTTCCTAACAATACCAAGCATCGTTACATCAGCTGATCGATCGATCTGATCCTCTTCCAGCCACTGATGATGGCCGCCAGCATCGCTTCCAGCCCGATGAGCCTCCCCGTCGGCGACCGTCGGCCGTCGCTGACCCTCTTCCAAGGACAGCGGCCTCCGACAGGGCACCGGCGGTTCTTCTCTGCTAAAGCCGCGCCGAACATGTCGTCGCAGCGCCGTCCTCGTCGTTCTTGCCATGTCGTCGCCTCGGTGGCCACAACCGACCGCCCGGCCCCCCTGGCCGGGGACGTGGACCGCGGCTCTCAGCCGGCGGAGACGTCCGGGCGCTCCGACGACGACGGGCAACTGCCCGCGCGGTGGCGGGAGATCCAGGGCAGCGACCACTGGGAGGGCCTGCTGGACCCCATCGACGCCGTGCTCCGCGGGGAGCTCATCCGTTACGGCGAGTTCGCGCAGGCCTGCTACGACAGCTTCGACTACGACCGCTTCTCCCCTTACTGCGGCAGCTGTAGGTTCCCGGCCAAGACCTTCTTCCAGGACGCCGGCCTCGGCGGCGCTGGTTATGAGGTCAGCCGTTACCTCTACGCCACCTGCAACGACCTCAAGCTCCACAACTTCGGGGGCCGGAAGCACAGGTCCGCCGCCGGCGACAAGCTGTGGAGCGAGATGGGCACGTTCATCGGCTACGTGGCCGTGTCGACCGACGAGGAGACGGCGCGGCTCGGCCGCCGGGACATCGTCGTGTCGTGGCGCGGCACCGTCACCCGGCTCGAGTGGGTGGCCGACCTGACGGCCAACCAGAAGCGTCTGAGCGAGATGGGCGTCCCGTGCCCGGACCCCGATGTGAAGGTGGAGATGGGGTTCGCGGAGCTGTACACGGGCAAGGACGCGGCGTGCCGTTTCTGCAGGTACTCGGCGCGGGAGCAGGCGCTCGCCGAGGTGCGCAAGCAGGTGGAGCTGTACCACGGCAGGGGCGAGCAGGTGAGCGTGACGGTCACCGGCCACAGCCTGGGCAGCGCGCTGACGATGCTCAACGCCTTCGACATCGCGGAGACGGGCGCGAACGCGTCGCCGGACCACGGCAGGAAGGCGCCGGTCTGCGTGTTCTCCTTCGCGGGGCCGCGCGTCGGTAACCTCAGGTTCCGGGAGCGGTTCGAGCGGGAGCTCGGCGTGCGGGCGCTGCGCGTCGTCAACGTGCACGACGGCGTGCCCAAGGTGCCCGGCGTGTTCTTCAACGAGGCGGCGTTCCCGGAGGCGGTGCTCCGGGCGGTGGACGGGCTGGGCGCCGGCGGCGTGTACACGCACCTGGGCGTGCCTCTGGCGCTGGACCACAAGGTGTCGCCGTTCCTCAAGGAGACCATGGACATCTCGTGCTACCACAACCTGGAGGCGCACCTGCACCTGCTGGACGGCTTCCGTGGCTCCGGCGAGGGGTTCCAGCTCCGCGGGAGAGACCCCGCGCTGGTGAACAAGTCGGCCGATTTCCTCCGCGACGAGCACATGGTGCCGCCCGTGTGGTACCAGGCGGAGAACAAGGGCATGGTCAGGACGGAGGACGGACGGTGGGTGCTGCCGCCGCGCCATAGGGACATCGACGAGCACCCGGATGACACTGACCATCACCTCCAGCAGCTCGGTCTCACCGCATCAACCTAGTGAACAATGATGGTTGAGGTTGATGCCATGGTGATTGGTGCATCGTGCATAGGTGCCACGTTTTTTAATTAATCCGAGTAAAAAAAATGAAAAACGCTACCATAAAGCTTGGTGGATAACAGTATATACTGACTGAAATCCAATTCATATTTGTAAAGATAGATTTTGAAAGGCAGTGGGGAAAAAGGAGTCCACAACATCCAATGCAGAGTTACAGAGAGACAAACATATGCCTCTATTCTTTCGACATATTTTGAATTTAAACTCAATCCTATTAATTTAAACGGTAAGTTACGCTGATGGTTCCTAAATTATTACGCGATTCTCATTCAAATTATAAACTATGAAATTGCATATTTAGATCCTAAACTATTTAAGTATATCATCCCGGTTCAAATAAGCACGTCACAGTCCATCAGCTGACGTAGCCCTCTAACGTGGAACTGCCATATGAGTCCCTAATCTACCGAAGTACTATGATCCCAGATCCTCTTAAGGCACCTACGTTATAGATAATTGTTTTTTAACTATAAAAGTTCATACTACTGGTTTACACTAATATATGTTTAATTAACCCGTGCTCCCTTTTAGGAGACATGAGCATGCATGTTATTATTTAATACCTAAAACTAATAAAAATTACTTATAAATTTACACTACTTTTTTCTAAATTTATTTTCTAACAAATGTTCTGCAGCAGTATTTTTCAGCGAATGAACAGTGTTTTTCTCTCACAATAAATCAGCATAAGCATCAACATAAGGCCAAATTTCAGCGTAATGAACAGGGCCATCTAATTGTGATAGATGTACCAATTTTTGTCTATATTTTTTTCATCAATATCCATATGCTACCCATAGTTTCTTTTTTCTTTGTATGGCACATTCGTGTATCTTCAATATGTATTATTTGAAACTTTAGCTTAAATTATGGGTGGCTCTTGTGGCATTCATGTCTCATGGCGTTATGAATCTAGCTTTTGATTTTTAAATTTTAATCTTGTTAGTTGCTACATATGTTTTATTCTTAAGTTAAGCTGAAACTCTTGATCTAATTCTGAATCTAGCTTTTTATTTTTCAAATTTTAATTTTATTAGTTACTGATCTAATTGCTGCATCGATCTTTTTCCATGTAAAAAACGAGTGAGAAATTGAGCTGCCACACCTCAATTTCTAGACACAACAGCCTCGTTGTTGTAGGGCGATGGGCTCGCCTCCATACGACTTTGCATTTCCTCTCTGTTGAAGTGTTGTCAACCTGTTTTCTAGATGACATGTTGAAGTGTACAGGCAAGACAGAGAGAGCCATTGCACAGCGGCCACACAATTAGAAGACCGACAACCAGTAAACAAATGTACGTCATACAAAAATCGAGTCTTCTTCATGCACAAGGCTGATATTGCTGGGAATAGAGAAGCATATATCTTAGAGCATTTTTAGTCTCTCTTAAACTCACACTTTTTATATTATTATTTGATTATTTGAAGAAACGTTTAAATAAAAAAACATATATTTTCATCTTTCAACATTTTCTCTATATCTTGCGTCACTTTGGAGAGTTGCTTCTGCACTCCATCTATTGGTAGCGAGAAACCGGGAATAGAAAATGATAATATCTAGATATCTAATTGCACCAAAATATATATTCCTATTAATAAGTGAGGATATAACGTCTTTGAATTACGACAGCCAATGTGAGATTGTGCTCGCTGTTGTTAAATGAATTAAGCCTGATACTCCCACCATTTCAAATTATGAAACGTTTTGATTTTGTAGATAAATTTTTATTATGGATTTAAGTATAATATATATTTGTATAAGTAAAAACTAAAAATATTAAAATATATCATAATTTAGAATAGAGGGAGCACGTATCAGTAAAATGGCTTCTTAACAACGGTAATGTTGTGCTAAGGACGTCCGTTCGTCCAGACGTTCCCATTGGTGGGCCACGACACTAGTTCAATAGCCAAACACTCTTCACTTGTGTATGTGCTCGTCCACTCGCCTCCAACCATATCCGCTCGTGAGCCCATTGTCCGTTCCTCTCCATTCCGCTCGCTGCGACATTCTCCACTGCGTCGGGCGCCTTCTCCACCAGAGTGGCCTTCTCCACCAGAGCTGCACGCCACTCAGCGGCATCGAGCTCCGCATCGACGAGCCTCGATTCGTCCAAGGCAGCAAGTAGATGTTGCGCTAAAAGCGCATGTTGCAAGCGTATGTTTCAAGTGTTTCAGATGTTTCAGAGATACGTTGCAAGTGTTTCGTATGGATGTTGCGAAAGTAGATTAAGATGTTATATATATTGCAATGGTTGTATATGTATTGCAAACATCTGTTCCCAATGTTTCATCTGCTTTTAAGACGTATGTTGTAAGTGTGTTTTATCTGGATATTGCATATGTTTCACACATGTGTTGTAAGTGTTTAATCTTGATATTGGCAATGGTTTTCAAGTATTTTTTATGAGTGTTTCAGACGCATGTTTGAATTGTTTCATTTATCTTTAAACGTATGTTGTAAATGTTGCTGTATATTTCAAAAATAGATGGAGTGTTGCATGTGTTGCAATCCGGCTGCTGCAGCTGCCGAAGGGCGCGAGGGGTAGGGCGAGCCGCCGACGCCGCGTCGGACGGTAGGCGTTACGCTAACACTGCCGTTCCCGCGAATTGCAAGCCACGCTACACAAGCTGTGGTGCCGAGTGGGCGGTACAGAGCTACTGGCACCCAGCTTGATTTGAAACATGCACTCGAAACAAGCGAAACGCCCAGAATTCACGCTCCTCCTGCCACGTGGGCCCAAAACGAGGGACAGAGGAAGCACCTGCAGCGTTTTCCCGAAAGACACGAAAAGCAGAACGTCTCCGCTCCGAGGACGGCACCCGCTCACGGCTCACGAGCAACCGGTGAATCAGGCAGGCAGGCAGCCGCCGCAGAATCTTCCCCACGCCACGCTGCCACTGAAAGCGCTTCGACCTCGTCCGTCCGTCCGCTCGCTGAGCTCCCGTGCACGTCCGTTTTCTGTGGCTGGCAGCCTGGCGCCACCCCGCCTGTCCACTTCCTCGACTCGGCGACGAGAGTCCCGCTCCCCGGATCCGTTTTTTTGTGTGCTTCTTCCCAAATCAAACAAACCAAAAACCCCTCCTCGCCTCCCATCACTTCCTACGCCACCCGGAAAGCGCGCCGAGGCGGCACCGCACCGCGGTAGTAGAAGACACGGGACGCGCCCCGCGGCCTCGCTCCCCTCACTTTCTCCGCGCCATCCACGGCCCCCCCGCCCTCCTGCTCTCCCTCTCCGCAATGGCGACGCCCTCGGCCGTGGGCGCCGCGTGCCTCCTCCTCGCGCGGGCCGCCGGGCCGGGCTGCGGCGATCGGGCGCGCCCGCGCCGGCTCCAGCGCGTGCTGCGCCGGCGGTGCGTCGCGGAGCTGAGCAGGGCGGGTCCCGCGCCGCGCCCGCTGCCACCCGCGCTGCTGGCGCCCCCGCTCGTGCCCGGGTGCTTCCTCGCGCCGCCGCCCGAGCCCACGGGTGAGCCGGCGTCGACGCCGCCGCCCGTGCCCGACGCCGGCCTGGGGGACCTTGGTCTCGAACCTGAAGGTAAAGTGCATCAGCCAAATCCTGCGTACTGCTGATTTTCAGATGGTTGCTGATCGGTTCGTTCAGCACGAAATGCGTTTGACAAGTCGGGTAAAATTTTGAAGGGTTAATGTGTGCTGATTGATCCCTGTTAGTATTAATCGGGTACACATGATCACTAGTACCGTGTAAAATAATCGAAACCCGTATTTCGGCACACCCGTGGAAATTTTGAGGTGTCTGTATTGGATCATGAGCCGATGGGGTTCAGGGTGGCGTGTACCTCGGCATGATGGCCGTGCACCGCAGCAGAGGTTTCGGGAGGCGTGCACGTGGTTGGATCTGAGCAGACATACTAGTAGCAGTAGCATATGCTTGGATATTTTGTAGGAAGAGGAATGGGGCTAACTCAACTCTCACTCACTCAGGTGACACATATGTCCTTGGAAGTAGGGGAAAATTGACGAGTTTGTCTCTTCCTTGCCTTGGTGGTGTGATTGTAACCCGTGTTGCAAGTAGCTGTTCCACGGAATATGCTATTAGAAAGTTGGGGTATCATATCAGTCCGTGTGGTAAGCTGACTTTACTGAAGTAGCACTAAAAGTGATCACCTAGCTCCATTTTGTGAGACCGACGTGGAATACTCCAGTTTTGTCAGTGATAGAAACGAGATGGAGTTTTTTTTAATATATATGGAGAAAACCCTGCTTTTATAGAAAGCATATAAGTGGACGAGATGGAGCTTTCAGTGCGTATAAATGGTGTCCAATGCCAATAGCTGCTGGTTTAGTTGCAAATGAGCTGAGAATGTATCTTAGGACCCTTAATTATCAGACTCTTCCCTGTCCCATTTTCTTGTGAAGGGCCATATGCACCTTGTCACTGTCAGTCCCATGGTACCATCTTGTGCTTTGCCGTTCACTGGACTACAGTTCCAGTTTTGTACAAATCTATTCTTTTGGCTACTTGTGGATATTTATTGATGTTCTGTCGGTCCACCTTTCTCTCTTCTTTGGACCACAGCTCTACTTTGTTTTATTTGTCTCTGACCATACATTTGAATTGTTTAGGAAAATAGTGAGCATCTGGCAACCTGAATTTGTCATTTAGCTGAGAACAGAATGTTAGTTGGACCATTCTTATCGCTGCTAGAATTGTTTTCCATGATGAAGTTAGAATTCTATCTTCTGTTACTCTGACCTTGACACATTTTTTAATCCTTCAACTCATATACAGGGATTGCTGAGGGTTCCATCGACAACACAGTAGTTGTGGCAAGTGAGCAAGATTCTGAGATCGTGGTTGGAAAGGAGCAAGCTCGAGCTAAAGTAACACAAAGCATTGTCTTTGTAACTGGCGAAGCTTCTCCTTATGCAAAGTCTGGGGGTCTAGGAGATGTTTGTGGTTCATTGCCAGTTGCTCTTG